AATCATAGCTTTAGGATGACTTTCTTACTTACTAAAGTCACTTAAAATGTTAATAAAAATAGGTGGAAACTTAAAAAACAAGGCTTTAGGATGTTAAGTATGATTCCCATCTACTGTAAAAACTCAATGGTTAACGCCATGGGCATAGGGGTTGGGAGCTGATTGTGAAGCAGGTTGGTGATGTCTCAACATTTCTCCTCGTTGTTTCTCTCTGTCTCATACACACACACTCTAAATTATAGGACAAAAATAAAATTCAGAATTGTATAGTTGTCTAATCTAGAAGGAATTATTTAAAAATAATTTATACTCTTTATAATCTGCCCCAGTGTCCCCTGCTTTTTGTCTGTGTCCTCCTACTGTTGCCTTGTCATTCTTTCACTCTATCACATTTCTTAGACTCTGGGTTACAATTTCCAATTGTTGGCATTCAGAAATCCTTCCAGATGAGACTGTTAATTCATGCTTCCTGAAACCTCTAGTTTTCAGATTAGCTAAATTGCAAACTTTCCCATTTACAAATATGGCAATGTTCTGCAGCCTAACATTTGTCTAAAGATTGTGTATAGTATCCATTTGGTCTTATTCATTCCAGTATACAAAATTAGTACCTTAACCTCTCTTTTTTACCATCTAATAAATTTCTAAATTAAAAAAAATAAGTCTTGTATTACTAGTCTGGGGCTACATACAATTTTTCTTTCATCTGCTGGAAATTAATATTTTCTTCTTTTGGATAGGGGATTAACACTTGAATTTAATGTGGATGGAGTAGTATTTGGGCCTGTTTTCTCTGAGAGCAGAACAGTGAAGAGCTATATACCCAGCTGCTCCTTGTTCTCTAGATAGATACCAGGAACAATTATTGTTGCAACTGAAAACAAGTGGATATTTTAATGGAGAACACAACAATAATCACTACAATATCTGAACAGTTCAGGCAAATTAGTTGTTTGGTCTTGTAGATCATTCATCTAAATGACTGAAATTTGGTTATTTGCACACTGAGCCTGAATATTTTTTCAAGCTTCAGTTTTTATTGTATGCCACTGTTGGGAACCGCCCTGACTGGTATCAGAAGCTGAAACCCCCGCCTAGGCTAAGGCTAAGGGAACGCCCTTGGAAGCGTAAGCCAGCAAGGAGACAAAAGCTTATCTCCATGGCAGGAATGCTGCTTCTGCTGCTTTATTCATAACTGAACCCCCAAAAGCTTGGTCGGTTAGCCAAAGACAGGTAAGATTCCCCACGGGGGGAATGACCTAAGACAGGCACGATCACTTTGGGAGGCCCCCCAAAAGAAGGACTTGGGGGGCTGCAGCAAAAGGGGGTGATGGACCCTCGCTCCTCGGCTTTGACATAGCCTGAGTTCTCAGCATCTGGGAGAAAACCTCCTTGTCTCCCAGTTGCCTTAGTGCCCTTGCTCCACCTAAGCCTGAAACAATGATAGGGTGGTGCTGCAGCTCTGTACTGAGAAGTGCGGATTCCCCGGGGTGATCAGGCCTAAGAAAGAACATGTAAATTACTGTGAAACCTTCTTTGTTTAGAATGTTCTCAGTTGAATGAGAAGGGTCTTAGGAGGAAGTTATTTTGTTCCTCAGTCTTACAGCTCTTTGACCCCCAACTCAATAGACCGGCAGAGTTCTTTGTTTTCTATGGTTCCTTACTTCCCCCTAATGAGTACTGTACTTTACCTGAATTATTATGCAGAATGAGCCCAATAAAAGCAGGTATGGACGGTAAATCAGCGCGCTCCCCACTAGGGGGGGTGGCCATTTCGTCCCTACTTCCCCACAGAAACTGGTCTGTCTCTGTGCATGTCGTTTTTTCTCGCATGTTTATCGTTGAGCCATCTGCAGCATTCCGTGGTCACTGCTGGCCGGGGACCCACGTGCAACATGCCACCTTGCAAACAACTTTTAAAGATTTAGGTTTTGGGCACATTACCTCTGACCACTGAATGTGCATCGCTTCTCTCTACCTTTTTCACTGTTACACCTGCTCTTTTTTGACTTTACCATTTTCTTTTTTTTGTTAAAGATTTTATTTATTTATTTTTAGAGAGGGATGGGAGGGAGGAAGAGAGAGAGAGACAGAAACATCAATGTGTGGTTGCTGGGGGTCGTGGCCTGCAACCTAGGCATGTGCCCTGACTGGGAATCGAACCTGCGATGCCTGGTTTGCAGCCCGCGCTCAATCCACTGAGCCATGCCAGCCAGGGCCACTTTACCATTTTCTTTAGTGCAACAGTAAACGTTATCCACTATTTATTTTGCATTGAAGTAGATGCTACCAAATACCAAAATGCTTAAGAACAGCCTCTTCTTCCCACTTTTGTTTCTTCTAGTGTCACTTATTTGTATTTTGCTGTCAAATGGTGCCCCACCACTATATGGCAAACTGGTTCTTGGTTCTGTTAGCTCTCTCTATCTGCCAAATCCTATACCTAAGGGTTTGCTTCCTATGGGCATTAAATCTAGGATTTCTCCTGATTTCACTGAAAACTGTCAGTCTTTTAGCTCTGGCCATATTGTTTTGACAGGAAAGCAACCTATCTGTATTACTGAACTTTCCCACTTTTCTTTCTTTGTCAGGATAAATTCATCACTACTTATTACCTAAACATTTATGAAACTGATCAAAAACTAATTTCAGAGAGTCCCAAAAGATTCATTTTAATTTAAGTCACCAAGCCACTGGTAATTAGGAACATTTTGAAATGCCAATAAAGACGTTATCAAAATTTGTATTTGTTACAGCTAATGCTTTATAGGAAAGGGTATGAACAATGACAGAAGAAATTGATTATATTTGGGAAGAACTTGGGGAACAAAAACTTATTGAAATTCAGTGAAGTGACTTTTTGAGTTTTTCACACAGAGACAACTTGAGTTAAAAACTCCACTTACCATATCATGGACATGGGCAACAGTGTGGGGATTGACTATGGAAGCAGGGCATGGGCTGGGTGGAGAAGGGGGGAGGGAAGAAAATGTAACATCTGTAATAGCACAAAGAATAAAAAAGTTAATTTTGTCTTTGTTTTGTATTAGTGTGATAGGCTTTTCTCTTGAATAGGAGTTCAAATAATCGGGCTAGTGATTTTTGCTTCCATACCTATTAGAGGAATAATTCAGATGGAATGAAAGTGAAAGGAAAATTTAGATTACAATATTTTATATAATTTAGGAACTGTTAAAGTTAGTTGATGTGGTCTCAGCAGTCTTGGGCAATGGCAGGATATTATCACTCTTGCCTTTTTGCCAGATTTTAATGGAATTGGCTGCACTAAGCATCAATTGACCATTTTAACATTTATGTTTCAAGTCTGCTGCCAGCACAGTCAGACCATGATGTGCTGAGTAATGAGTGCTATGCAACAAGGATTTTTAAAGATAGCTCTTCTTCTTCAAAAAAAATCTCTATCTTGCTGTTAATTGCATATTGGTTAATAGATTATTTTTCCCTTTCTGGTCAAGCTTTTAAATTTAAAACTAACAAGTTTATAAGTAAGGCACTACCTTGAAGCAACATTTTTATTAGAAGGTAGTTCAACTTTGATATTATAGAGCCTTTCTCGAAGTGAAATTATGCACACTTTTTTTAAAGATTTCACTTATTTATTTTTAGAGAGAGGAAGGGAGGGAGAAAGAGGGAGAGAAACATCAATGTGTGGTTGCCTCTCACACACCCCCAGTTGGGGACATGGCCCACAACCCAGGCATGTGCCCTGACTGGGAATTGAACCAGCGATTCTTTGCTTTGCAGTCTGGCGCTCCATCCACTGAGCCATGCCAGCCAGGGCTATGCACATATTTTTATCAAACTGATTGTGGCTTAAAAATTTCTGTAACATACTGGATGGGGCAAAAGTAGGTTTATAGTTGTATATGAAACATACTTTGTTGTTGTGTTATTATTTATTAATTATTGTATTACTTTCCATATAAACAACTGTAGACCTACTTTTCCTCCACCCTGTATTTGCTTGTGCAAAGTTACTGTGAAATTTGGCCTGACCTAAATTTGTATTTTATATTCCATGGCTACCAGTGAACTCTCTGTAGCAAGTTGTCATTTTCTTGTGATGGCAACAATGCTGAATGATTTAGCACTTCCAGTTTGACATTGTTCTGAGAAATCATGGTGCCCAACTGAGGTGTGATATGATGACCATGGAGATGGCCGCCTCTTCCCAAAATCTTGATTGATTTCAAACAAGCAAGTCATTTAAATATGTGAGCCTTAGACTCTAATTCTTAGAAGAAGGCTGGGGAAGAAGCCTCATCTCAATTGTTGCCCTGGAGGATCCTAGAAAACCTATACAATCCTCTTCCCCAACCCAGGAAATAAAGACCTCAGTCCAACACCCCTCAATGAACTGAATCCATATTCTTCCCCAGCTGAGCCTCAAGATGAGGCTCCAGCCTCAGGGGACACCTTGATTACAGCTTTATGAAGCCCTGAGCAGAGGAACCAGCTAAGTTGTGTCTGGATTCCTGACCCACAAAATCTATGACATAATAAATGTGTGTTGGTTAAGCCTCTCAGTTTTGAGGTAATTTATTGTATAGCAATAGATGACTAATACAATTAGAAAAAGGTCTCATTTATAGTTTTATAACATTTATATAATACTCATTAAAATTATTAAAAATGTGATTTTTAATGGCTGCCAAGAAAAATATAGTAAAGATATGCCATATTTCAACTATGCTGATATTGTTGGCTATTTAGATTTCTTTTTTTAAGATTTTATTTATTTATTTTTATAGAGGGAAGGGAGGGAGAAAGAGAGAGAGAGAAACATCAATGTGCGGTTGCTGGGGGCCAGGGCCTGCAACCCAGGCATGTGCTCTGACTGGGAATCGAACCTGCGACACTTTGGTTTGCAGCCCGTGCTCAATCCACTGAGCTACACCAGCCAGGGGCAGATTTCTAATTACTGTGTACTATAAATAATCCTCATACATCTATTTTTCACTACACATTTTATTATTCCACTAAGAGTCATCGCTAAAAGAGGAATCAATGAGTCAAAGTATATGGATAATGTTAAGGATATAGGACTATTGGCAAATTAGTTTCCAGAAAGATTAAGCCATTTAACATGTCTCTGAGTATTTTAACTGGCCAACATTGAATAGTTTAAAAAACGTGCCAACTTGAGAAGCTTTATCTCTTTGTTATTTTAATTTTTATTTCTCTCATTATATCCTCACATGACTATTATTTGGTTGAAGCTTAATAAACATTTAAATAAAAATAATCAGTCAAGTATTTAGCTTAAATCACTAGATCTACAAGTAAATATGTACATGTGAGTATGTTTATAAGTCAGTGTTTATCAGGTACTCCTTATATGCTTTACAAATATTAACTTTTTTTTTTAAGATTTTATTTGTTTATTTTTAGAGGGGAAGGGAGGGATATAGACAGAGAGAGAGAGAGAAACATCAATGTGCGGTTGCTGGGGGCCGTGGCCTGCAACCCAGGCATGTACCCTGGCTGGGAATCGAACCTGGGACACTTTGGTTCCCAGTCCGCGCTCAATCCACTGAGCTATGCCAGCCAGGGCTCAAATATTAACTTTTTTGATCTTTAAGACAATGCCAAGTAAGCTGCCACTGTCATCCTTATTTTACTGAAAATAGGCTAAGAATAACTTGCTGAGGGCAGCACAGATAGAGAAACTATGTTTTAAACTACATGTAGCAATACAATTGTCTTACCTTGGGCTGTTACAACAAAATATCATCGAGTGGGTATCTTGCTGATGGCTGCTTTCTTGCTATGTCTTCTCACAGTAGAGCGAGAGCGTTACTCTTTTTCTCTTCTTGTAAGGACAGTAATTCCTTTACGGAGGCCTCATTCTCATGACCTCATCTAATCCTAATTACCTCCCAAAGGCTCTACCTCCAAATAACATCACATTGGACTTACTGCTTTAATATATGAAATGTTTGGGGTAGACACAAACTTTTAGTCCATAGCAATAGTATATAAACAGAATGAACAATATCCATTCATATACTGCTTCTGTGTATTTTTGACAACTGGAAAAGATTTAACTTTGACAGTTTAGCAGAAGTCCCTGCTGAGTTTTAATGTACCAAATAGAAGTAGAAATTACATTTAAATTCTTACACTGTGTAGGTGCCTCGTTAGCGCAGTGGGTGCCGCGTCAGTCTCATAAACTCTTTACACTGTGATCATTTATGCAGAATCTGCAGGAGGTAGATTTAGGTCAACTAAAATGCAATTTCCTAAAGGAAAATAAACAATACAAATAATTCCAAGTCTCTAACTTAGAGGGTTAATGTTCAAATCAAATTGGAGCTTTTGCAATTGTAAGTTAAACTATGGTTTGGGATTTTCAATCCTCTGCCTCCAAAGTCAGGATTTTTAAAAAAATTATTTAGTTTATTGGGGTGACATTCATCAATAAAATTATATAGGTTTCAAGTGTACGATTGTAGAACACATCATCTGTATATTATATTATATGTTCACCACCCCAAATCAAGTCTCCTTTCATCACCATTTATCCCCTCTTTTCCCTCTATTACCTCCCCAACACTTCTTTCCCTCTGGTAATCACCACACTGTTATCTTTGTCTATGAGGTTTTCAGAAAAATTCCTTTCCCTGTTTCACCCAATCGCCCAGCCCTGCTCCCCTCTGACAGCTGTCAGTCTGTTCTCTGTATCTATGAGTCTGTTTCTACTTTGTTTGTTAGTTTATTTTATTAATTAGACTCCACATATAAGTGAAATCATATGGTATTTGTCTTTCTCTGACTGGCTTATTTTATTTAGTATAATAGTCTCCATCCATCAAAGGGAGGTTTTAATAAGCCATGGAAAAAGTAACCCCAAAGGCTTTCTAACAGCAGGTAATAGTCATCATGTATTTTTATTTATGTATTATTTATGATATTGGGAAATGAAATATGCTTTTCTAATAGTCATCACTCTAAAACACACTTCAACAGTTAATCAGAAACCATAAGAAAATAGTTTTATTTTTCTTTTATTTCTTAAAACGATATTTTCAAATTGGTGTCTAGTAGCAAACACCTGCATGTCTTCAGTATTCCCAACCTTCACTAATAAAGCAGTTGATAATAGTGCTTCACTTCTAGGTAAAATATTAAATGTTAAACTCTTTTCACTATTTAAGGAATTTTTGCTACAGGAAGAATTATATAATCCAGCAACAATAAAAAATTACAAAATTAAAGAAAAAATGCTTTAAATTTTTGTACTTTGTTGAAAAATTTTTCTTAGATTCTATAAAACATTAGCTCATTTTTATATTTTACAATTTTTTTGTGTTTTTTCAAAAGTCAACAAATAATCTAGGACTAGCAATATGTTTGTTAGATCTGGCATTTTCTCAGTACATAACGTTCAAAGTTCCTTTTAAAATGTATTTTATGTTTTGCAATTTTTTCCTATACTATTTACATTTTTCAATGTTTAGATATTTTTTTCCAGTGAAACATGAGTTTCTCCCTGTGGTCAATAGTCAATTTTAAAATTGGAACCATTGTGGCATTGTTAATGGCTTTCTGATAGCCCCTTGAGCCTGGCAGGCTTCTAGTACAGCTACAGCTTCATCAACTTTAGAACGGAGAGACTCTGGAGACTCAAGCATATGAAGAAGTTCTGAATTATCCATCTCCAAGACCATGCCAGTAATTTTATTAGCAAGAGTAGGTTGCATGGCTTGAATTAGAGGAAACAACCATTTGCCCAAAATTTGCTTTTGCTGTTGAGGAGGGGCAGATGCCAGCCTGGAAGCAATCAAAGATGTCTCATTTTGTACACGAACAGCAGGCTGCTTAATGGTAGCTTGTGGCTGTGTATTAAGTTGTCGAGGATTGCAGACTCCTTCAGTATATTCATACCGTAGAATGGTGCGGACAGCAGTAGTAGCTGAAGTGGCAGCAGTTGCAGGAGGTGAACCTACTGTTGCTGTTGATGTGTTAGCAACACACTGTGGCTCCGTTGAGATGACTTGTGGAAGCTGTGAAGAAGCTGGTCTCATGGTACTGAATGGTGGATTAGGAGTGGCTGGGCCAATAGCATTGGGCATATTTTGGAATGGATGAGGTCTGGCACCCTGATCGACGCAGTGAAGACTTGATGTTAGTTGAGTAGCTTGGCCAAGAGGAGAGTATGCAGCCCAGTCTGCTGTCTGTGGGACAGCTGGCATCAAGGAACCTGGAGGTGCTGTCTGGTAGGGGTTGATTGCTGGGTTGGGCATAGCTGTCAAAGTTGGCATTCTCTGCATGTAGTAGGTAGCGAGGTGAGCTTGGCGTTCTTCTCTGTACTGAGCAAAACATACATACAATGGCTTGGTGGACAAAATTTTACCATTCATTTCTGCTACTGCTTTAGTGGCTTCTTCTCGGGAAGAGAAACATACAAAACCAAAACCTTTTGGTTGACCGTCCTTCATCATAACCTTTGCTCTAATGACTGTACCAAATGAAGAGAACTCTTTAAAGAGACGTTCATCATCAATATCATCAGCAAGATTTTTCACATAAAGGTTAACACTGTGGTCTTGGTTGTGCCTATTTTGCTTAATCTCATCGAATTTCTGTTGAAGTTCTTTCTGCCTTTCCTTTTTTCTCTGAGCTCGGGAAACATAAATTGTTGTATTATCAAGCTCTTTTCCATCCATCTCATCCACAGCTTTCTGTGCATCTTCATGGCATTGGAACCTTACAAATCCAAAACCTTTGGATTTCCCACTTTCATCAGTCATTACTTTGACACTTAAGATAGGTCCAAACTTGCCAAAGACATCCTCAAGGCGCTCATCGTTTACACTCTCCCCAAAATTTTTGATGTAAACGTTGGTGAACTCTTTTGCCCTATCTCTGCGCTCTACCTCTCGTTGGTTAGGAGACTTATATTGCCCAACATATATTTTGCGATCATGTATAAGCTTGCCATTCATGGTTTCAATAGCTTTTTGAGCTGCTTCCTGTGTCTCAAAATGTACAAATCCATGACCCTTGGAACCATTTTCATCACAAATCACCTTACAGGAAAGGATGTTACCAAAATCAGAAAACATATCATACAGTACTTTATGATCAATGGATTTGTCTAAATGATTAACGAATATGTTGCCCACACCACTTTTGCGAAGTGATGGGTCACGTTGACACCACATGATGCGAATTGGGTTGCCATTTATAATATCAAAATTCATTGTGTTCAAAGCACACTTCGCGTCCTCTGGTCGACAAAAGTTCACATACCCGTAGCCCAAGGAGTGGCCGGTGATCGCATCTCTGCAGACCCGGATGGAGAGGATGGGCCCTGCTGGGCTAAACTTGCTGTAGAGCACTGCCTCAGTCACCTCCGGGTGTAGGTCTCCTACGTACAGCGAGGTCGAGGAGTGGCTGGATGTGCAGGCGCTCATCTCGACAGGATTTGACAGGGCCATGGGGCTTGATCTTTCCGTTAGAGGTGGAGAGCAGAGCGAGAGATAGGGCTGAGGGCCAGCGCCAGAGAAGGAGGGCAGTGAGGGCAAGCGCAGAGGGACAAAAATGTGTCATAGTCGAACGCTACTCAACGGTCACAGAGTCATAGAACCACTGGCCAGTGACCTCCAGCTGGGGAGTGAGGGTGGCGGTGTCCAGTCCCGTTTGCCAGAAGCCCTCAGTCTCTTGGTTCCTTCTTGCAGCTGCTATGGGGCCATGGGCGGATTGGCCCCTGCCTTGGCTGCTTCACTGGGTTACTTTATAAAAAGAAAGAAAAAAAGTCTCTGGTGGGGGAGATGAGGATTTTTTAAAATAATTTTTGGGGGGCTTTTTAAAAAAGATTTTTAAAAAGAATAAATGTGTCAGGATAATTCCATCAAGACAATTCTATTACCACAAGAACCCCTTTTTGCCCTTACAAAATCAAACCCACGTCCTTCTCTACCCAATACCCACTCCCTTAACCCGGGAACCGTTCATCTATTCTGCATTTCTGAAATGTCACTTCAAAAATGTTATATAAATGGAGTCACACACAATGAAAACTTCTGGGATTGCTTTCCCCCCTCTATTTAATTCTCTGGACATTCATATGAATAAATGCATGTATCAATAGTGTGTTTCTTTCTATTGCTCGGTACTATTCCTTCATATGTGTGTACCAGAATTTAACTATACACCTTGACTATGGTGGTGTATGCATGAACCTATACATATGATTTAATTGTATAAAACCAAATACACATACAGAGAAATAAGTACAAGTAAAACCAGGGATATCTGAATAAGATCAGTGAATTATATCAATATAAATATCCTGGTTGTAATACAGTATTATAGTTTTGTATGATGTTGGGAAGTACTGGATATTTCTTACAATTACATGTGAATCTGTATCTGTCTCAATAAGAATTTCAATTAAAAAGAAAAATAATAATAAATGTGTGTTCTGAGCCTAGAACCCACACTCTGCACTCTCAGCACTAACCACTCAGGAAAAGAGGCTAAATTGTAAACTTTTAAACCCTTTACATTGGACCATCAGGAGAACATAAATGTTGTATTTAAAACAAATGCTCCTGATTCATTAAAGGACTGCAGTCAATACTAAAATAACTGTTTACTCTACACCAAGAGTCAGTAAACTATGGCTTTGGAACAAATGCAGGCTTTCATGCATTACTATATAGCCTGCTAACTAAGAATTGTTTTATATTTTTTAAATGGCTGTAAAAAGTCAGAGGAAGAATATTTTTTCCTTTTTTTAATTGAATTTATTGGGGTGACGTTGGTTCACAAAACCATACAGGTTTCAAGTGTTCAGCTCAACCAAATATCATTTGCACACTGCATTGTGCTCCAAAAACTGGAAAATCTCTTGGAGAGAAAAAGAAGAATATTTTGTGATATGTGAAAATTATATGAAATTGAAATTTTAGTGTACATAAATAAGTTTTATTGGAACATACACACATGCATTTATGTATCTATTATCTCTGGCTGCTTTCATGCTGTGACATCAGAGTTGAGTAGTTGTGACAGACCATATGACCCTCAAAGCCTAAAAAAGTTACTTTTTGATCTTTTATAAGAAATGTTTGCTGACCCCAGCTCTAGACTTGTGTGCCTCCCTTTGTCCACATTTTGCTATATTTTAAAATAATACTAGAATACGCACAACATGGGGAATCATGCGATGGTAAGAATAGACTTAATTTTATCTTTTTAAGGGAGACATGATCACAGTTCGTCCTGAGGAACATTTTACTTAAAGGCATAATGCTACACAGAGCAAGATCTTTGATCTATGTATACTTGAAGTGATCAGAGATTTCCAGGAGCCTGAATTTTTTGAAGCTATCTCTGTTCCCTGTATGTGAGAGGCATGTCCTTTTGCACAGAGGTGATAATCAACTCTCTTTATTTTATCTCCAGCATTTTATAATAAAAACACTGCCAGGTGGTCCAATGAATTCTTTCATTGTTATCTCATGTCATCTTCTCAACATTCCTCGAAGTAAATTTTACTTTTCCTTTTTAGTGATGAGGAAATGGGCCCAGAAAGATGAGGTTATTTAAATACCATTGCATAGCTAATCAAAGGTCACTCCAGGATGTACACCTTAATTCATCTAATTTCTAAGCTTTTCTTAAGATTTCATTTATTTATTTTTGGAGAGAGGGAAAGGGAGGGAGAAAGAGGAGAGAAGCATTGATCAGTTGCCTCTTGCACACCTCCAGCCTGGGACCTGGCCTGCAACCCAGGCTTGTGCCCTGACTTAAACTGGTGACCTTTTTGGTTGGCAGGACAACCCCCAACCCACTGAGCCACACCGGTCAGAGCTTCTCAGAGCATTTTGTTTTATTGCCAGCTAGAGGAAGAGTGTCATTAACACAGGTCAGAAATCTTCCTATAACTCATTGATTATTTTCTACCCCTAACTTTTTCTATACCTATCCAGATAAATACAAAACCATATGTATGCAGTCACCACCTTTCCATCCTTTCATCCATCCATCCTCCCTCCCTCCCTCCCTCTCACTCCCAATTAGTTCAAATGTCACATGTTTATTAACTACCTAGTTCATGCCAGCCATCATGCTAACTACACTAGGCACCAGGCATACAACTGTGAAGAGGAGAGACATGGTCCCTGACCTCATAAATGTTATAGTCCTTTTTTACCTGCTAGATCCACACAGAGGATTACTTTTATTTGCCCACAAATCTCTAAGGCCCAGGCATTTCCATCACATGTGGAGTTTGATGTCCTCACAGTTCACACTGTACCATTTAGGAAGTCACTTAAATTGGAGTTTTTGGATGGCTGTTTTGCTTTTTACAAATAGCCTGTATAGTGGAATGAAGATGTTATTTGATTTTTGAGTTTCAGGGTAAAAAATGCAAGAGACATCAGCTTTTTAAAAACTAAATATAACACTTTATATAAATATTTCCCTCAGAGCTACTAAACACATGCCAGATTCTAACAATGATGTATAAATATACATAAAGATATAAAATATTTGGTTACACATTTTTCTTGATCCTATTCCAAAAGATTTTCATCTATTACTTGTTTTGAGAGAACAGAAGCTGGCAGGGGTAATTAATAGAGTTGACCTCTAGGGTGAACAAACATACACTGGTTGGGGGAGCCTTGGATTCTTTTCAAAAGACTTTGCTGGTGAAACTTGGAAGAGCCGTGTGGCTGCTGGGAGTTTTTGTTTTGGTAGTAGTTACTGGTTAGGCTTTGTAAATTTTCCTTTCAGACATCTGGCTGTTTCTCAAAAATTGCCTTTAAGAATTGTATTTTGTAAGTTAAGAGCAGAAGCTATTATTAGCTGTGTGTTTGTGGTTAAGACATGAGGTCAGATTTGGCAGGGAATTCTTAAGGCTGTGTGGAGGGGAGCCTCAGCCCAGCCATCCTGTGGCCACTCAGTGCCTTGGAGAGCAGCTTATTCCTGGGCTCAGAAGCAGTGACTCTCCCTTTCAATTTGTGGGAGCTTTAATAACGGAATCCTGCCTTTAGGAGTCAGGAGTGATTTGTAGCAAATTTCTTTTTTTCAGAATTCATGTCCTAATGAGGATATTGAATTATATATAATAATAATAATAATAATAATATATAACATATAACTATATATTATATATAATATATATTATAAAATATATAAATATATAATATGTATATTATATATAGCTATATATTTAACTTTGATGTATCAGGTTTTGGGTAGCATTTTCAGAGGAGTTCTGTAGGAAGTGGTATCATTATTACAGTTCATAGTGGTACCTAAAATTGTGTATGATTAGAATTTCTTTACACTCTGATTATCAACTTGCTGTAGAGCAGGGGTGTCAGACTCATTTTCACCGGGGGCCACATCAGCCATGCGATTGCCTTCAAAGGTCCGAATGTAACTTTAGGACTGTACATGTGTAACTACTCCTTAACAGTTAATCGAGAGCTCGGCGCTGCTGCCAGGTATGAAGAAGGTGCCTGGTCAGATAAAACAAGGCGGAGGGCCAGATTTGGCCCGCGGGCCTTGTGTTTGCCACCTGTGCTGTAGAGTATCATAGAAGGGAACATAGTCTTGCTGCTGTTTGCGCAGATGTAAAATGTATCCAAAACATAGTATTTTAAAAGGAAACTTTTGTAAAAAGACTAGTTAGGCTTTCAATAAGAAATCCTTTAAATCCTTGACAGTAGGTAACAATACAATTCCTTTTAACAGATTCACTTGTATCTTTCATGAATCAGAAAATGATATTGGGGGACAGTTGCTTTTGCAATGTTTTAGTAATATAATTTTCTCTGTTACTTTCAAATAATTGTCTGTGGAATCATTTTGGATTCCTATTTCAGAAGCTTTGCCTTGACAGCAAAATCATAAATTTGTTTTCCTTATGTCAAACATTTTAGATGATGACTGGATCCACCTAGTACATATTGTTTTCCTCTATAATCTCAAGCCAGTCCTTTCACAGTTGTGCCTTAATAAACAATTTGATAGCAAAGTGATTTATTGAAAAGACAGTGGCTTATCTTTGTTTCATTTTCCCCCTCAAATTTACAGTGACATTCAGTACACTTTTATAATACATCGTTAATGAAAATTTACCTATGGGTCTAAAAATAGAGACAAAAGACAGCCAGTTGACTGGAGAAGTAACTTTAGAATTTGAAAGTTGTGGAAATAGTAGCTTTGTTCTGAATGTTGCATGCTACCCAAAGGCTTGGAGTTTGCTAATGCCACAGTCTCTCAACTCCAGAGGAAATAGTTTCTACAGTAACAATAATGATCATCACTTAATGAAGGATTATTACTTATCAGACCAGATACTGAGTGAATTAAATCAGTAATTACATTTTGTCCTCACATTAATCTCATGTAAATTCTGTTAATCCTTCCTTTACAGATGAGGAAACTGAGG